CTGAAGACCCTGAAACACCAGGTTCTAATCTTGGGAGTATGTAATTCTTACCTTATTAAGGAGGAGCCTTTGTAGGTGTGATTAATTTGAGGACCTTATTATGGGAAAATCATTGTGGATTGTCTGGGTATGTCCTAAACCCAATTGTAAGTATTCTGAAAAGGGAGAAGCAGAGTGAGATTTCATAAACACAAAAGAGGTGAAGTGAAAAAATTTTATTTTAAGCCACTAACTGTGTAATTTGTGTGGCAGTCTCTCTCAGTCACGTTTCTCACTGCTGGTACAAATATCTAACACCCACAACTTAATAGGAAGAGATTTATTTTGGCTCATGGTTACAGTCAATGGTTGAATGACTCCAAGGCAGACATGGCATAGCAGGGGAAGGCTGATTACATCATGGTGGCTGGGAAGCGGAGGAGAGGAGCCAGGAAGGGAGATACAAGCTTCCAGGCCACACCCCCAATGACCAGCCTCTTCCAGCCAGACCCCACCTCAAGGCAAGTCAGTTATATTGCCCCAATGATTTAAACACCTTCGAAAAGCCTGGCCTGTGATGCATGAGGCCTTTGGGGAACATTTATTTTTTAATCTAAACCATAATATAGTCCCCCAAGAAGCTATACAACCACAGCAGATGCACACTAAGGGCCAGTAATGGAGGAAATTGTGCCAGGACTGGGAAATCAGCCCGGAAAAGGACAGTCATGATCCCTTAAGGAGATTACCGGGAGTCAGTTATCTTCTAAATTTAAAAATTAAAAATTTATCACCCATTTTGCATCTATTTCTAGTTATCAGAAATTGTTTTTCAGAGAGGTAAGTAAAAACAAACACCAATTTGCCTAAGGGATGAAATTTTACAGTTGGAATGAAAGTTTATGTTAAAAACATCATTTTTGTTGAAAAAGATATTTGGTACAAAAATCAGTTGTTGCTTATAAGCTAGGCAACTCACAAAGGGAAAGTGGACCCAATGATTTTTAAGAATTGTTAAAATTCTTGTTGCAAGTGTATCTTTGTGAGCACTTGATATGTATTATTTAATAAAATCCTTATGGTCATTCTATATTTTCATTTTCCATTTAAAGAGATTGAATCGGAGAGGTTTTGAAAAACTTTTCCTAAGGTCATAAGATGGAAATGACGCACTTTGGCTTGTCTCAGTAGTGGTGAGGGTGAACCAGGGGTGAAGTTGGTTTCTCTGTTTCTACCATGTCACCCTCTGCCTGGTCCACTCTACTTTCACCCTCATATTTGGAAGGCTTGCTCACAATAGATTTTATCCAGGTGGGGCAAAATGACTGGATATTGAAAACATCCAGTTAAGTATCTCGATTATTTTGCTTCCTACGTATGTTAAGGGTAGGTTTGGACAAGGTATGGGTGCTAGGTGCTGTAGGAGGCTTAAGAATATATAATTATAAAGACCCCATTTCTAAAACCACAGATGGTGTGCTTGTCTGATAAAGACTTGTGAGGCACAGTCCATGAGCATGGCAAGAGGCAGTCTTGGAGATATTCGGATGTCATAACATCTTAACACTGGTAATGTATTTAATTATGGCATCTAACAGAGACCGTCTATGAGCTGAACTAAGGTATTTCTGCTTCCAAAATAAAGCTGTGGCCTATTTTCCCAACTCGTATAAACATTTAAACAGCATCTTTATAACTTTTTTCTATTAATTTTGATTTGTTGTCTATTTGTCCTGAAGTATGAGGCAGCTCTTAATTTAGTATAAAATTATATACATCAGACCTTTTTAATAGTTCACAAGACTCCACACCAAATAAGATAGCTTTCTGGAGTAATGCAAAGTCTCTACCTCAACAGTGACTGAAGTTACACAGGAAAACAAGGTAAGACAACCAAAAATTAACCAAGTGGTGCCGGCATGAAATACTCTGCCTCAAAGGGGGCTTTCCTTATGGACTGGGGCTTCATGGAGCTCCGAGATGGAGGTCAACATGCTAAACTGCAGGAGAAAACTACAGGTATAAAGGAGCAGGAGAACCAAGCTGGTGTTTTGGAAAGGAAGGGAATAGTTGAGAAGAATAGAGCTGGATAGGTCAGGCAGAAAGTTAACTGGAAACAAAGTTTGGGGTCACATTATAAAGGAAGAATGGGAAAAGACTACTTTTTCTGAATTCTCATGGGTGTATTACTACCCATGTGTTAATTTAGTAGCCACAATTAACTCCATAATGGAGGGTATGTATTTTACAAGAGAATGTATGGCTAAAAAAACAATCCAATGGCTCAAGCCAAACAAAGAACTTCACCACAGGATCCCAAGGGTAATAGCACAGACAACATGAATAACTCAGAACGGCCTCTCATTGATTTCTTTCTTGCCACTGTACAAGATGATTAATTTTATCCTTGAACTTGTCCTATAAGTCACAGACATGAGCAGAGGAAACATGTGTTGTGTCCATTGTTTCAGAGTGCCTCATACATTACAGCTTTTGTGAGCACAAGATTCCCCTGGATCCACAATGTGGCAGAACTCAGTCAAAATCAATACAAGTGAAACATGTTATGCCTGTAACTGAATACATGGGGTAATGAAAGCCCAAGAAGCCTTGTTTTCTGTTTGAAACAGACCTGCTTTGAACAGAAAAAAGGCAATGGCACTCTAGAAATATGGATCACTGAGAAACCCTACCCTATCCTTTCTATTATTTTCCCGTATTAGCCAACTACTGATGCTGAACAGTATAGAAGAAAAGAAAAACAGGGCAGTCCATATATCCTTTTCTTTAGTCTTTCCCTGTCTATCAGTAAGCTAGAGGTAGGGTAAGTTGATACCAAGACATACCAAGACATGAAATAACAGCTAACCAAGTTTTGTGAAATTTTCCTACTGATCTGGTAAGAATGAAACACACAGGCATACAGTATGTATACATAAGCTATAAACTAAAAATTGTGTAATTTTGGTGATTCTGCATGAGCTGCTTTTATATTTGTAGTTAAAACTGAAACTTGTGTAAGAATGAACGGTAAAATGCATTTAATAATTTTTAAAAGTTTTAGCAGGTGGAAAACCTTATCGTAAGAAGCTGTAAGAGACCATGAAAGAAAGGAAGAACATTTTTAGTGGTAGTTTTTGTTTTGTTTTTTGAGATGGGCATGTGTGTAGGGTCTTATTATTTTGCCCAGCCTGGGCCTCCAACTGCGATCCTCCCCAGTAGTCTGGATTACAGGTGTGTGCCACCACATCTGGCTATTTGTCTGTTTTGTACAAGTGGCCCACATCTTCAATTGTGCAGAGTCCTGCATACTTTGTAGCTAGCTCTGCTTTTCATGGCTGTTCCTTGAGGCAGGCCTCTAGCCTGTCCTTATCATAACTCCTTTCCTGGCAGCTTTTTTGAGAACCTCCACTGATCATTACTGGTCTAGTGGGCACTACTGCTCTCTCAATTCCTTTGCTCCTCCACTTGTGGACTCTAGAAGTGGACCAAAACTAATCTACAGGTTCCTTGAGTTCTAACTTGAAGGATACTGGCTGCAATGGAAGATAACGTGACTTGCTGATCCCCTTTCAACCTTGTCTTAAGAGAAGCAGTCAAATGCTGGTTCTTTTGTTTCTTCCTTGAATTGCTGCATTTTTGTAAATGCTTGAACTGTAATAACCTGAAGGGTTAAACTAGCTCCCAAATTAGGAAAGATGTGATATAGTTATATCATTGTTGAAAACAAAAAATGTTTAAATGATCAGGGTGAATTAAAAATGGTTTTGGAACAGCAAAAGAGGTACCATTTTTAACATTCCTGTTAGAAGTGAACCAGTATGACTGATGTACTGGCATATTTTAAAGCAAATAATTATGCTATTGATGTGAAGCTCTATTTATGCTCCCAAAGGCTCTTGAGCACTAATATTCCAAAACTTTATTACAAAGAGGAAGGAACCAAGTTGAGCTTGACATAATCCTTGAAGGCCAATTCCTCCCCTTAGTTTTCCTCAGGGGCTGTGAAAAGTGGCAGATGGAGGGAAGACTCAAGTCATTTTTTTCAGGAATATCACTATAACCAACAATCCAAAAATTTAAACACTTGATAAGTAACTCAAGTGGTGTCAGAACCAAGTGCAGGCAGAGAATCCTAGGGACTTCTCTTAGTTCCCCAGTGGGTCATGGAAAAAGGAGGCCCTGGATGACTATAAAAGGAAGCCTAGACAATCACTGTAGAACAGAGAAGTCAGGAACAAGAAGAAAAGCAAGTTGGAACTGAAGTGTGTATCTGACATAAGCCTCTGGGCCTCGCTCCTTAGAGTTCTTTTTCCCAACCTCAGGAATCTCAGTACAAACACTGAAGCCACTCAAAGGCTGTGCAGGTGACTCCCTACTATCCCTTCTGGAAAGTACAGTGAAGACTTTGTTTCTGCCCAGTGTTGGGCCAGAATGAGGAAACAAACATTCCCAATTGAGAACTAGAACAACTTTTGTATAGAAATTCTGTAAGATGTTGTAGGTAAATTCAGATTTATCTTGCATTAAATATTAGGCATGAGGTAAGTGTGGTAGCATATACCTGTAATACTAGCACTTGCGAGGTTAAAGCAGGAAGATCACAAATTCTAGTTCTACCTGGGCCTTTTAGTGAGATCATGTCTCAAAATAAAAAGGAGTTGAAATGTACTTCAGTGTGAAAGCCCTGGGTCTAATCACCAGTACCACCACCTGCCCCCCAAAAAAAGAAAAAGAAAAGAAATTAGCCATATATGGGGCTAGCTAGAAGCCTAGTCCCCTACACATCTATGGGAAAATTATTTCTGAATTATAGAAAGCTTTCAGAGGAACTCTTAAAACTCCAATCTGATCTAAGCAAGGGGCTGCCTGCCTTAAAGATGGCCTGGGACGAGACAAAGGAGGACTAGACATCAGAGCTGTCAACAGGCAGAGAAAGTACAATGCTTCTGCTCAGTGACTAGCTTCATCGAAACTATGAAATCCTGCAAAACAGTATTGGGAGTTTGCTTTTTGTTTTTAAATGGTTAGAATAAAGTATAGCAGAAGTACATCTCTTCTTAAATATAAATTTTGGCAAATGTGTGAATACTGTAACACAAAACAAACTAAAAAAAAAACTTTACAGGAAGCCGATGAGGAAGAAAGAGTTTACAGGAAACTAAAAAATGAGAAGAGTAAGATAGGTTCCTGATAAAATATATAAATACACAATTATGTAAAGTTGTCATGAAACATTACAACTCCTGAAGTTAAGGCACTGACATTAACAACAAAAATTAACTCATTTGAGGAAGATAAGTGTGAAAATATTCTAATGTAGCGATGTCCAAAGTAAGTTTCTGTGATGGAAACGTTCCATAGCTCTGTGCTGTCCGATATGGAATCTGCTAGCCATGTGAATTCCTCCTCCCATCCCCTGTACCAGGGATCAAACTTAGGACCTTGCACTTGCCAGGCAGGTGTAGTACTACTGAGCTAATCCCTGGCCCTAGCCATGTGAATTCTTGAAATTTGGTGAAGGCAACTGAGGACATAAATTTTTAATGTCATTTAAATAGTCATATGTGACTAATGGCTATGTACTCAACTGTGCAGTTAGCTCCAATGTTTCTTGAATCAAAAACCAGTGGTTTCCTTAGGGGACTCCTCCAATGACTGCTAAGGGGTTGAAAGTCAAGTGTGGAAAAAGAGAAAAGCTCTTAATAGATTTCTCTGGCCACTTAAGATCTGAAATTCTTCACAGCTTTTGGAGGCAGAGGCTGGAACAACCCACTAGGAATAGTATAAGGGAAGGACTCTTGAGTAAAATTCAGTACATTTGGTCTTCCACCTCCCAGCTAATGTCAGTGGGAGTAAAAGGCCTAAGGCTTTGTTTACTCAGGAGATGCTTATAATTACATAATCAGGTTGTGTCCCTGGGACCATCTGTGCATGGAAATCACTACTGTGGAGATGGTGGAGAGGTGGAGGTGGTGCTCATTTGCGGACAGGGTTTGCAGAGCTGGATGACGGTTTAGAGGCAGAGGGACCTGAGGGCCCTTTCTGGCCACCTGCAGGCTGAACAGGCCCTTTCTTCTTTGGGATTACAGTCTTGTTCTTGGTCTTAAACACTTTGCTTGGATCCAGCTTGTTCATGAAGGAGTCGGTCTCTCCTGTGAGTAGGTCTGTGTTGTAGGTGATGGGCTTATACAAGCTGAACCACTGCTGTAAGGCAGAATTGGGAGAGAGGGTCAAAATGCAAAGGAAAATTGTCATTTTTAGTAAGGCTGTGGAGGGAGAGAGCTGGAGACAACAGAGAAGAGAGAAATAGTTAAGCATCCCTAATCTAAAACTTTTTGATTGCCAACCAAGAATGTCTATGCACATATTTCAAAATTTGAAGATCTCTGAAATCTGCCATTTCTGATCCCAAGTATTTCAGATAAGGGTTACTGAATTTATTTGAATAAAAAACTGCCTTGAAAACTCTTAGCTCTTCACTAAGAGAAAGTGATGATCCCATCTATTCTTGGTCAGATACACATGTCATTTTGTGAGGCCTAATCAACTCTAAAATAAATGCAGTTGGTCAGAGGATTCAGCTCAGTGGTTCCTCTGCCTGCCTTGCAAGTGCAAGGACCTGAGTTTGATCCCCGGTAACAAACAAACAAACAAATAAATAAATGCAAGCAAGCAAGCAGCCCCCCTCCCCACTCTCCACCCCAGGAGAGGCATGTAAAAGGCCATTGTGGGCTTTCCTGAGGGATGATGTATGTGCTAGTATTCTATTCCTTACTGGTTTTACAGGTAGCTGAGGGCAAATGGCATCCCAATTTATTGACCTGTCTTTGATCACCACCACCTGACAATTTGACCAGATGGAAGTTATCATGTGACTTTTGAGGAAAATGAGGAGAGTACTGAGTGAAAAGAACATGGTGTAGAAAAATATAAATAGCACATTACACTTGTGATTTAGCAAAAACAAGAAGAAACCAAAAAACTGCATGCTTCACATGCAATGAGTATCTCACTACACAAACTGGTAACCATGGCCTCCTCTGTGAGAACAGGGGAATAAAAGAGGTGTACTTTGTTACTCTTCCTCAGTGTGTGTAATACCAGTCCAAAAACAATTTATTTAGACTTAAGCTTCCAATACATTTAGTTAGAAATAAAAACTCCCAAGGTGATTGATTCAACTAAGTTTGGGAATCATTTAACTAGATAACTATAAAGTGAGGTTGTCCATGCAATGGAATCACTTGCCTTGCTTCTTCAAAAAAACATTGGTCCCTGGGCTCCACCCCAGATCTCATAAATCAGATGGGGAAGCTGGGAATTTTCAAAGTAATCATTTCCTCAGAGGATTTTTTTTTGGCGGGGGGGGTTCTGAGATAAGTTCTCACTATGTAGTTCAGGCTGGCCTAGAACTTACTACATATAGCCCAGGCTGGTCTCAAACTCACAGCAGTCCTCCTGCCTCAGCCTCCTGAGTGCTGGGATCATAACTGTGTGCCATGCCTGGCAGACTTTTTATATACAACACATTCTGAGATTACAGGTGTTTTCCCCTTACCTTGGCTTGTGGGCTAATGCCATACCCGGTGAAGGCATACTGCCACTGGGGCAGGCCCAGGTGGGTGATGAGCAGGCGATAATAGGCAGTAAAAGTATCTGTCAGAAAATGCCAATATAACGCTCTGTCCAGGAACCAGATCTCAGTGTCTTGTGCTAATGCTAAAATAACAAGGAAATAAATAATAGACAGTTTAACACTTTTTCCCTTTAAACTATGAAGTCAACATATACTTATGGTTAAAAGAAAAGTGAATAGTAGAGAGGATGTGAAATATACCAGTGCTCTCCCCGCGACTTACAATCTCTTGGTCCCGTTCTCCAGTGGCCACTTTTGCACTTCTTTGATACACATTCTTGATCTGGCTATTTGGAAGTACATTCAGGCTGTCTAAGAAGATGCACCTTTTCTGAGGGGACTCAGTGCCCCTCTTCCCTAGTATATACTGTGGTTTCAGCTTTTCTGATGGCAGGAAACTGGATCAGGCTCTCTTGAAGAAGCTCTCTTAATAGGCTCAGGCTAAACCTACTATAAAGAAACCCTGACCAACTCACTCCTGGGAATCCTGCCTGTCCAGTTGTGTGATGACCTGGTTGAACAAAAACAGGAACTACTGTACCAGCTCTTCCTGTCTTGCATCTTTGGCCTTCCATTCTTACTACCATAAGCCTATCCCAGTTCATCTGTATCTAGATAGCTGTAACATCTCCCCAAGTGGCCTCCATCATCTACTCTCTTCCTTTCCCCAAACTTCCTAGTCACAAAAATTTTCATTTGAATCCTGCCATTCTGCCAAACAATCTTGACTGACTCCACATTATGTCTTCCATATTATGTCTAACTCATTGCTCCGCACGAGAGGGAAGAGTTTCCCTTTGGCTTTCTTTCCTTCCTCATCCCCTAGATGAACCACATAGCCCACTGGATTAAAATGTTACTCCTATGGCTTTTATCCACTTGTCTTTCTGGTCCCTTTTACCCTCGCTCATATTTAATTCCAATTGTAGTTCAAGATGCAGCTCAAAGGCTATTTTGCTATAATTCCTCCACCTAGAGATGATCTTTTCATCCCCCAGAGATAAATTCTGGTGTCTGTATCTCACCCCACCAGAGAGAGCTACCTGAAGAGAGCTTAGTCAGCTCTGTATTTTCATAGTCCCTTGGCCCAAATTTTGTTGGGGGTCCAGGTAGAGGTTGCTGCAGCACAGAACCTCAGTAACCACTGTGTGGCCCTCTTTTCTCTCTCCTATGTGAGGTATAGTGATTCAGAATTTATTAATGTTAACTGGCCTAGATACAGAAGATTAAACGAAAGAAAATGTGCTTCCTGGATGTTTATCTCATGCATGAGCCTGCAGGAATCTATGAACAGATGACCTTATCTTTAAGGCTTTACTCACTTATTATCTAATCCCACTGACTGTTTTGTAGTAACTCACATATGAAGATGGCTACAAGCTGGCCTCAAGGCGAATGCTTGGAAATAATCAAAGGTGCTTTCTTGGTCTTCAAACATACCAGAGGCCTGGTGGCACCTCAGGAGGCTAGAGAGGTATGTGTTTTTGTTGGATGGCTGAAAAGCAAAGACAGGAAGACCAAAAACAAACTGTATAACTATGTAAAGATTCTTACCTGGTTTCCCAGTTTTGTAGACAAGGCAAACCTTCCCATTCCCATTACACGAATCCAGCTCAAATATCACACTTCGAGAGTCAAAATGAGGCTTCTCTGGTTGGTCCTCATTGGCTGCAAACCCAGAAGATAAAAGGTTCAAACAAACTCAACTTACAAACACAGATAAGTACATTTAAAAAATAGGAAAAAGCCTTCTCTCAGACATAGTCTTAAGTATTATTTTCAAAAGAATTATATGGTCAAATGCCCTAGATCTCACTGATGGATTAAGCCTTCCATCTGGGCTTTCCCATCATCAATATGACAGTGCTAGAGAATCTGAAAGAACTATCACAAGAACATCCTAAAACCCACAAGAAATTCCTTCACATCCCACATGTATCTCATGCCTTATTTGTCTTACACCCTTGTTCATTTTGCACATTATTTTCTGTATAAATTCTTCAAGACTGCAGAAGTTCATATAAAGACACTCACCTAGCAGTGTCTGTCTTTACCAGTGGGCTAATGTTAATTTCTGTGATGACCTGAGACCAGTGAACCTTGTTTCAGAGCAGCTTTGTGTACTTCTCCTTTTTGCCTTTAACAGCTTCCTTTTATCATAATCCTTCTACACATACTTATGATTCCTCATCAGTCTGTGGATCCTAGACTGGAGTCTCCCATTACTTACCCCCAAATTTTATTTTATTCAAATTTGTTATTGTAGGTAAGAAACTGGTTATGATTATTTGTTGTTTATTGCTTATATGATTGGATCCATCTGACTGCATCCTTATCTATAAATTATATACCATTATTTCCCTAACCAAATTGGATACATAGAATTCTAAGATGCCCCCCCAAGATTACTGCCCCCTGATGGACAGTTGAGAACCTATGAATATGATGGGTAGTAATTCTTTTGATTAGATTACATTTTTAAAAAGGGTTCATAGCACACTAGGAAGAAATGTTTATGCCTTAATGTGAAAGGGTCACCTGCTGGTATCCAAGGGCAGCCTTATGTTGCCGAGAGTGAAGCCTGGCCTGGAGGCTGTTGCCACAAGAACCCAGAGGCATCCTGACTTTCTCAGGCAACTATACCAGCTATATCAGATTCCTTGCTATAAGAAAAAATATACTGCTATTTAGACACTGTAACAGGGTGTTATGGTTTATATCTAGATGTTCCCAAAGAGCTTCACAGGCAAAGCTTTCGGAAGGTAACTGGATAATAGAGGTTTATGGCCGACTTGCTGTGAGGAAGAGGGGTCTTGTCAGAAAGGTGGATCACTAGGGTCATGGCCTGGAAGGGTTTTTCTCTCTCCTGGCTCTTTTCTTCACTCTCTGCTATGACATAAGCAGCTCTACTCCACCATGCCCCTCTGCTGTGCCATCCTGTCTTGGAGTCAACTGACTATGGACTGAAAAGTGAGCCAAAATAAACCTCTTCTTCCTTAAGTTGTGGGTGCTGGGTATTTTATTCCAGCAATGAGAAAGTGACTAAGATATAAGGTCTCTCTCATAAGCAATTCTGACTGAAGTCTTCACTTATCTTCTGTTGTTGGTAGGCTTTAGCAGCTATTTGACTTGTGAGCCATTTCACTTAGAAGCAGTAAAGAACTTGGAGGTGGCAAAGGAAATGACAGGAACTGTATTTAGAGTGCCACATGCCCTGAATCCTCTTAAGACTGAAATCTTGAGTGAAGCTGAAAATATTCATTCATTCATCAAATTCTCTTTAAGTGCCTACAGTGTTCTGGGCACTGAACTTAGTGCAGGAAAAAAAGATCCCAATCCTGACATTTTCTTCATGAAAATTTCCTTTGTTGATATAGGCTATTTTATTTTTATTTTTATTTATTTTTGGTGCTGGGGATCGAATTCAGGACCTTGCACTTGTGAGGCAGGTGGTGGAACCACTGAGCTACGTCCCCAGCCTCTATATAGGCTATTTTAAATTTTATTTTTTTTGCCTTAATTCTGGGGTAAGAAGCTATGAATAGGAAGAGTTTTAGTTTGGTGGAACACACTATAATGCTACAACCTCTTCCCCTGGTTCTAGATATGATAAAAAGAAAACAAGCACGATGATTTCTAACCAAAAGCAGAAATTTCTCCAGGTACCTTCATATGTATCGTCCTCCAGGTCTGCCAGAGTTGGTGCATTAGGAAGTGAATACACAGAAGACTGGTTGAGCTCAGTTAACTTTGAGATGCTGTTAATTGCCATGTTGCCCAGCGGAACGATGTGCTCTGTGGGACCATCAAAAAGAAGACTGACATAAAATAACAGCCTAGTTACAATGTTCATTGAAAGGTTTCTCCCTCAATAACCCAAGCATAGCTACTGTTTGGTCCCATGGCTGAAGAATCTGATGGAAGATAGAAAGACAACGATCACTCACTACATGTCTAAAAACACCAGCTTTTCATGCGGACACCCCCCCGCAAAAAAAACACCTGGGGGTCACAGGTGATGAACAACACCTGCTGTGTTATTTGGGTGCAGCTGAAGAAAAACTTAGAAGAGGTACACAAAATAAGCTGGAAAGCCTGGATTTAGGAACTTTATTTGTAAAGTACATTATTTTAATTTCACGCTCTTTTCCAATATTATGTGAAAAGAATTATATTTGCTAAAGAAATAACAGCCTTGATTAGATTCGATGATAGTCCCTTTCTCTTCTTACAAGCTTTCAAGACAGAAAATCTCTCTCCCTCTATCTGTCATTTACTCTTACTTGGTGGAAAGGCCCTGGCAGCCTTCTTGCTTGGTTCTAGTCTTCTGTGTTAGGGTGTAAATAAGGAACAGGGAGACTGCACGTTTTCCTCATCCGTTAATGGGGGTACTGTTGTTATATAGGATGCTGGACACAAGGTGGCACACAAAGATTTAGAAATACGACTTATGAAAAAACGGGAATGGTTGAAGACAATGAAACAGATGTTATATAGAATATGAACTGTCCAAGAAACAAACACCACTAAACATCAGAAGCTGCCTCTTCTGTCATTGACTTAAACTATGTAGTAATGAGTATGGCGATGAGAATAAAAATACCAGGACTGAGAAAATTAAATTACCAAAGATACTACAATCATTGAAAATGCTCATTTGTAAAATATTCATGAAATATCTCTTCTCCAAGGCACATCTGGGACTGAACTATCTTTATGATGTGGGCAATGGACTATCAGTCTTGTCTCTGTCCTGTCTGTCACTCCAGATTCCAAAGGCCATGTTCATGGTCTGAAGGAGGGTCTTGATGCTGGTGAAAAATGGATTCTAGACAACTGGAGGAGACGAGTCTAAGTGAGGAGCTAATGTTAAATGTTTACTAGTAAGTTATAAAAAGTATTCTTCTGGTCAGCTGTGGAGACAGAAAGAAGGCATTGGAAATCATTAAAAAAAAAATGAAGCAGTATAGGAAGAGGGCAGAGGCAATAAAGGAGATTAGTCAGCTCTGTTGATCTGCTTTGCAACAGAGGTTAACTCCACCTTAGGGACAGCAGTGTGGGAGGTGTAGGTGCTTTGTCCTTGGGATGTAGTTGGAGATGGAAGCAATATGGCCAACAAACGTGGGGCTGGGAAGTCTCTGCCAGGAATGTGCTAGACTTCCATGGCTAGATCCAGATTTCCTAGCTTATGAGCTTTTACCAAAGTCTTTACCTAAATGTGCAGGGCATTCCTTTATGTCGACATAGTATCTACAATCTCTGACATGTATAGGGTTGTGAGTTCCCACATCTGCAATGGAACTGTCTTGGCTTAGGAACACTAAAGGCTGAGATGCCAGCCTGAAAACAGCTGGTTGGTGACTTAGGCATAGATGATAAAGGAAAGAGAAGGAAAGGCTGTGATTTGAGGGTTAGAGCCTTGGAAGTTTTCACAATGATGAGAAAAGGGAAGGAGCCTGGAAGACATGGGCAGCTGCTTCCAAGAATACTGGAGGCTGGTGTTATAGGTGACCCTGAGAAGACTATTCTGAAGAGGAGTACTCAGCTTTATGTTTAAGCTGGTTGGGTCTTTGTACAGTGATTAATGTCTTCTGCTACCATATTGCAACAAGAAGCCTCCACAGTGAGCTTCCAGGTCAGAACCAGCTAGACTCTCGAAGAGTGTGTGGTAAGTGAAGTACTATTAGTATTAGTTAGCTTTGAGACAAAATTAAAACTTTGATATATGGCATTTGATGAGCACCCATAAAAACTGTCTAGATTCCAAGACTCTAAAGTAGTAAGGCCCTCAGAGTCATCACATCCAAACTCTCCACCAGTGCAATGCTCCCCAACAGCAAGGGAACCAACTTACCATCTAGCTTCACACTCCAGGTCATGTGGAAGCCATTGGTCATCAGGTAAAAGTTCTTTATATCCTCAGGCATCATGCAGTTATTTTTCTAGAATTACAAAGCAGCTGAATGTTAGATAAGGGCTGGGAAAAAAGGAAGAGGAATATAACTCAAAGCATGGATAAATAGGGTAAATACCTATTTACCATACTTTGGATCTCTGAAATAGGATAACCCGTAATTACCTACAAAACTTCATGAGACAGGTACTGAGGTTTATAAGCAGATTCACCACATTGCCTTTTTTTCTCCCTCATTAGGCAAAGCAGACTAGGTGTCTATTCTGCCATGATATGTGCTGATGGCTAGCTGAAAAAGGAACTCAAAGAGGACAAGCTGAGGAGGAAATAGGAGAATGTGATGAGAGATGAGGCCTGGCAATGTTAGAGCATAATAACAAACACTGTCATAAATTTCAGGTCCATGTGCATATATTGTTTACTGAAATAAGTTACTGGACAAATGAGAGTATTTTTAAAAGTGAAGAATATATATTTCCAAAGCATTCAATGCAATGAACCTACTGTAATATTTTTACCATTTCTTAGAAAGTTCAGAATACACACAACTATTTCATATGAACTGGTGGTGTGGAGAATAAAGGAACAGCTCAGTATCCTTTTAGGAAGCACAAGAACAAGCCTTAGATATTAAATAACTCCCATCTGTGCATAGGTCTGACCAGTCTTCTCTAGCCAGTTCAAATCAATGAGTGTATAGAAAGATGGGTTCCCCAATTCCTTTCCTAGGTGCCCTGGGGTGTCTTTTTGTATTCTCTATGGTTCCAGAGAAGAAAACTACATGCAGAATGCCTGTCTCTAACCCCAGGAGCCCCTATACAAGAAATCTATAGTTAAACAGTGTTCTGATAAGATTCTTTTCCTCATTTAGACCCCTAAAGCCAGTATCTACTCAAAGATTTTGATCACTACTGCCATCTTGTGGTGTAGACAAGGAAAACACTGTCTACCAGTCTGCATGCTTTTTTCTGTTTGTTTTGTTTCTTTTTTGGTACTGAGGATTGAACATTGCAACAAGCAACATTCCGGGCCCTTTTTACTTTGAGACAGGACCTTACTAAGTTGCTCAGGGTGGAGTTAAACTTTCAATGCTCATTTAGATTACAGGTATATGCCACCATGCCCACCTATTCTCAATAGCAATTCAAAGAGATCCCTGCAGAGAAGTGCTGGTACCTTACTTGGCATTGTCTGTTTTTAAGTTAGGCTAAGAATTCCAGTAGCAGTGATATTTTTTGTTGATGTTTCACTCAAGAAATACACTTTACTACTTTATACCAGTGTTTATAAAAAATTGAAAATGCATACAAATACAAAAAAGTCAGTGAATTTATTAATACATTTTGAAGACTAATATATATTGTCAGGTAAACCTTCTCATATAAATGAGAACTGGGCCCTGGCCCTTCTGCTTTTTTGCTGAATGTTTAAATTTTCTGAGTGGGTCTTCCAGGGTACCACTTGTAGGAGCTTCTATGCCCTGGCCAGTTACTTCCATTTTAATTTCTTTTTTTGTCAATCTGGAAAGAGTCTGCTGTTCCCCATGATCAATCTACCCATTTCAAAGGGCTTCTCTCCACTCTAAGAGTCTTAGTCTTTTCTTCTTTAGGAGGGGAGCAGATGGAAAGGGAGAAGGAAGACTGGCAGAATGTGAATAGAAGAGAGGCATATCAAGATTGGAGGGAGAATTTGGGAAGAACATCAATAAGTCAGAATACCCTGCTGATCAGAGTCTACAGTAACAGTCAACTATAACTATTGCTCTGTCTTGTCCAAAAATGATTCTGTCACATGGCTCCCAATTTTCAATGTTTTTCTCTTCCCAAAGAGGCTAACTACAATAGTTTCTTTAAGCTACTCTATAAAAAGTTCAACACAAATCTTGTTACTCTTCATTAGTTTTAGGAGCTATCAACTGGATTCCTAGAAAACCTTCATGAGAACTGGTTGAACCTCAAAGAGCTGTCCACTGCCTCTTGCTCAACTTCTGTACTTCTGAACAATTCTGTACTCCATTGTTCCCTTCATTTTTACAGGCCACTTTGTCTTGGAACAGAGCTACACACCTGAGTAGCAGAGGCAGGATTAAGTTATAAAGATGCCAAAGGATGGAAATTAATGTTTCTATAGGTGCCTATCCTTTCTGAGTAGGCTATTTGTGTATCTATTCTCAGCAACAGCCAGAGGAAGGGTTGCCCATAAAACCCACCAAGGAGGAGCACTAAAAACTACTGGAAATGTGAGGCAATAAGACAGCACATCTATTTAAACACTTCTTGGAGAGGACATTCCACGAAGTGGAAGGAAAACCTAGGCTGTAAAGGGATGGGGTATGAGATCCCCATGAAAATAAAGTCCCTTCAATGATGGGGCACCTAGTTTAACAAATCTTTGTTGAGTAGTGTATGAGAGTTCTGGGCCAGAGCTGAATTGTTTAACACTCAGAGAAGAGGCAGCACAGTTTGCCCCAAATCCTTTCTCCATACAACCATCAGTCTCCCTCTAAAAATACATGATGAAAAAATGTATAATGTTTTCCCTCTCTGGAAGCACCATATGTTTTGGTGAAGGAACTATTGTACATGACAAAACTCAGGCAAACCTTCAAAACAGTAAGGCTCTTAACTAACCAAGATTTACATGTGAGGGGACTCCTGTGGGAAGCCTTGTATTTGAAACCTTTTTTTTAGAGCTTCTAAGTGTGGGAGCCTCAGTGGTAGGACTGAAATTAAGGACTGCCTGTGGAAAACCAGCCAGATTACCCTGGGATAATTCTATATTCTCTGACTTGTGTTTTGTCCAATTCATCCACCCAACATTTATTAAACGTCTGTAATGGAATAAATACTGTGCTAGACACTAGAAACACAAAGAGGAGTGAGGCAGGGTGTGCAGAGGAGGCTGTGTCAGACACATGGGTTGCTAATGCAAATCCACCTTTCTCTTCCTACTTGGCACAACCTTCATTTTGCTTGAGATGGCTATAGGTCTGCAATTAGAACTGGACATTAAATTGTAAACACAAGTTCAATAATAGTTTCAAGAAAATATTCACTTTACTGTTAAAAGGAGAGCTGGAGACACCCCTTACTTTTTCTTCCTGTCTTTGTGCTTGGAGGTGACAGGTGGGACCCTGGTAGTCCACTGGCCACCATAAAAGAATATGAAAAAATAATTATAGAAATAATGGTTTATTATCAGGGCTGATGAATCAACTCCAATTACTTACCTCAGGGCTTGTTACAAGAGCAGTATTAATTACTATTTGTTTAAGCTATTGTTATTTTAATATTATACCTCCTCAAGCCACTTTAATTTCTAATTTATACAAAGACAAATGTGTAAGAAATAAGTATTGGAGCCAGCAAAGTGAATTAGGTAGAAGAATCTGAAGAGAGCAGTGCTTTAGAATCCAGGGAAAAAGAGTTATGAGTAGGCAAGATAGCTCACTAGGGTACCTTGCACACTTCCTTCCACAACAAATGACAACAACAAAATAGCAGTGAGATGTGATCACAAAATGAAATGAATGTTTAAATTAATTTTTATTACAGTAAAACACATATGGCTATTAATTTCCTTCAAAACACACCTCCCTTCCCTGTTGCTCTAAACAGTTTCCCACTGTTCTTCTCACTTTCTGAAATAGTTCTGGAAGTTTTCTTTTTTGAGTGTCTTTAGTTGTGCTGTCATGGTTGGCCTGATGTTCTAAATCAATTCAAAATGTTTACCTTCTATTGTAATTCTGACTTTGAGGAAGAGCCAGAAGTCATATGTTACCAGATCTGGTGAATAAAGGGGATGAGAACACACTGTCATGTTTTTATGAGCCTACACTTCTGTTGGATAGCATTTAGGAGGAGCATTCGCTGTAATTTTTAACATACCTTGTAAAAACACTACAAAAGAGGACTTTCATAACTGCTTCAGAAAATGACCAGAAGGATGAGAAAGTGTTCAAAGTGAGGAGGAATCTTTCGAGGGGAATTAATAATTTGTCTTTTGCTGTAATAGTTTTTTTTTTTTTTTTAAACACACACCATTTTTGTTGATTAGACCTGGTATTTCAAGAGTATTTGAAACAGAGCGCAGGAATCTAGTTGGGTATAGCAGAGACATGCAGAGCATAGGGATACATCATAGCCTTATAAAGAAGAGGATTAAATATATAACGTCTATCATTCTGCCTCTTTAGGTCAACCCTGAATCAAGAGGGACTTTGCTAGACAGGGAAAAAGTAATTATAAGGAGGCTCCTGCCAGTTCTCATGCCTGACACTTGAGGTATCTGTTGCTGGAGAAGCCTATGACCTTGCTGCACTGCACTACAGAAAGCACCTAGCCCACACTGTGTTCTCCTTCACTCAGGCTCCTGCTTCCACAGAAACATCTTGAGACCTTTCGCACACTGAGTCCTGTGAAACAGCTGTGTAGCTGCCCTCAGCAGTTTGGCTGACCTTGGCCTGATAGCCCAGTAAGATGGCCCTGTGTCCAGAAAACAGTGGATCAGCTCACCCTTAGTAGTTCAGTCTAGAGGAGCCCTATGCATATGGGTAGCTTTCTTTTTTGAGTGTCCTGGCTCACTGAGGTCCCCCCAGGAAGCTGCTGAGAGGCCCCAAGAAGCAACTACTCAGCCTGATCTCAGAAGCTTGGCCCACTGAGAACTTGAGAAACAGAAGTCCTTGCCAACCCACTTTTGGTCTTGAGAAGTAGCTGGGAAGCTTACCTAGAGCAGATTGGCCTCTAGATCCTCCAGAAAGTTACCTGTATAGCTCTTAAACTCTGACAGTTTCTTAGTCTGGGCCCAACAGTAGGCCCTGGTCCCCATGCAGCCCTCAAATACTAGCCTCCTGTCCCACTATTGGGCATGTCATGCTCTACCCACTGGAGTAGCCCCACCCTCCTATAATCTGAGAAACTAATACATCCCATATATGCAGCTGGATGCACTGTGCCAACAGCTGCCAGTGATTCTGCCCCACCTAAAAAAGCTGCACTCTAGCTGTCAGTGTGATTCCATAACTGAAGC